AATTAAACATGAAATATTTTACACCTGCAGAAAGTTTTTTTTTGCCATGTGAGCACCACATAATGGACAAAATAGCAGTGTGTGTATCTTTGGCATGTAAATTATTCAGATTTCTTTCCCCTTTGCATTGAGTATACAGAAGGTGGTGCTTCTTTCACTATGCTTGAAGCTTCCTAAATGAGTTTGGAAATGGGAGCACATTTGGGATATATGGAGTGCCTGTGATACTTAGTGGCAATTCTATTACTGATGTGCAAAGCATGTTTGTATTCAGCCATGCTAAAAAGCCATATCTGTGTCAATAGAGTTGCCAAAATTCCTGACTATTCTACTTCACATGAAGTTCTCTGATCTAGTTCATACCACAGCCACCCAAACAGTTTCACCAGTACAACTGAGAAGCAACATAAATCCTGCCTTAGCTTGCGGACTAAAATGAGTCACTGGGGATAGGGGAAGCAGACAGACCTTACGTCAGTGCTGATACTGAACACTCTGTAATATGAAACCACATCCTGAGATGCCTTTCCTTAATATTATCAGCCTAAATGGCATAGCAGATAAATATTTTAAAACTAATTATGTATTTCCTGCAAAACAGTTGGCTCATATAAGTCAATGGTCCTACAGTATGCTTGTTAAATTCAAACTTTTAATGGCATGCAGCCCCCTAAAGGCCGCTTCCTCCCCTTCTTCTGCTAATCTGTCTATATTACTGCAGATTCTGCTCTGCAAGGATTACTTTTTCCCAGAATGTTCATAACAAAAAAAAATGATACATAAAAGCCAGATAAGCATTGTTATTGCTGGTTACGTCCATGTGGAACTAAGCATGGGGAATTCTCAGGGGTGTCACTTATCCCACAAATTCTTGTTTCACCCATAACCTCTTGTTTCCCTTACCACGTTTATCCTTATAATGTTTATCCACACATATCAGCAATCCCATCCACCATCCATATAAACGGACCAGCTTGTGCCCTGATTGCTTCTGGCTGCTGGGACAAAAAGCTGTGATAGGAGCCTCTCTCTCTGGCCTTGCCTGTGGGAAAAGACTGAGTGAATCCCCAGGTGCAGAAGGCACTGAGTGCAGAGTCAAGGCACCTCATCCTACCTTGCAAAACATCTTCTCCTCTAGTTCAGAACAAAGCGATCTTTAACCTCCTCACTTAAAATCTAGAAGAAGGAATGAAGCCTTCAGCCAACCCACATGCAGATCATCGGAAGTCTACACACAAAAAGATCTTTTGTGATAACTTTGAAAACAGTTGGTTTACAGATAGAAGTTTTGTGAACAGGGCTTTGATATAACTCCAAATTAACACTGTTACCACAGCAAGAGTACTTGGTCCTCCATGCAAGACATATGTGGCAGAGAATGCCACCATTTACTCTGTCCTGTAAAATCAAGCTTCAAATCAAGACTTAAGCTTTGTTGTTTATCCCAAATATAAGGTTCTTCATAGGGTATCACGCCCTTCAGTTTGCAAAATCAGACTACATTAGCACACCCAAACATTACTGAAAGATGAGAGATTTATCTATACCCTATATAGTCTTCGGTATGACAGATGTTTCTACTACTGCACGCTCATGTAACTTCTTCTCACGCTACTTGCCAGAGGCAGGTTTGGGAAAGTGCTGAAGGAAATGTGGAGAATTGCCATTTCACAGAAGAAGGATCTTCAGAGTGATTGGCTGGAAAGAAAAGTTTCTCCATGTTCTTCTGCCAGCCAAGCTCCAATTTCCAGTTTCTACCAGGTCTTCTTTGCTGGGGCTCTTCATTTGGCAGAGATGCTATCAAAAAAGTAGATTGAAAGCATGACCTGCAGTAAGCTGCACAGTTCTCAGAAAGAGGAGAGCAGCTTTCATATTCCTCCTATTAGCAGCTCCGAAGAGCATTTCAGCTCTGCAGCCTAACACTCCTCTGTTGGGCTGCGACCCTTAGTTAAGGTTAGAGAGAGGGGAGGTAACGCTGACTCTAGAGGGTTCACCCAGCTGTTATTCAAGAACCCCTTTTGACAAGGCCCAACTCAGAAACCTTGGCTGAAATATCAGAGAAAATTGGTTAGCTGTGAGAAAGAGTTGTGAAAAACCACACAAAGTATACTTGGTGATCTGAGTAGACTGATGCAAGGTGAGAAAGGTTACATAAACTACAGGTAGGTCTTCTGAGACAACAAGATTTAGCAACACCAGGATTCAAAAGGAGGAAAGCTGATGTGAGAGGGAATAAAAACACAACGGAAAAAGAACACAGAAGTTGGGAGATGGCACTGAGGATCTGCCTGTGCAAAGGAGCGAGTGCAGCCGGACAACCGCACCTTCTGCTGCATGTCCATCCGGCCAGCACCTCATGCAGGTGGTGAGCGTATTAATGCTTCACCCACCGACTTGCCAGACCAGCTCGCTTTGCATGTGCTAGCCAACTGCTCTGTACTTTGGGGTTGCATATATCCTACTTCCAGGGCGCCATGGCAGCTGCTCACGCAGAGGGACCCAGCGAGGCAGGGTCCCCAGGGGCGCACTAGGGGCTGCCGGCACACAGCAA